AAATACATACAGAAGTGTTAATGTAGATCATACATTTGTAGCAAGTTCATTTTTGTGCATGAAGATTATTTTAGAATGAAGTATGCATTGTAAAGTCAAAAGCTGAATTTTCTGTAAGAAAAGGCATAATGTTAAATGGGAATTTCAGAGAATGACAACAGATCAATAATGTGTTTCCTCACATTAGCTCTATTCTTTTGCAACTTATTTTAAATCTGTCTACCCTGCTACTAAGCCTTCTGCCATCAGGCAAAACCAAAAAAAATCTCCTTATGTACTCTGTTAAGCCTGTTCCAGAGTTGAACATCTCTGTCAAATCTCCTTCTAACTTTCCAGCCCTGAGGAGAACAATCTCTACTTCTCTAGTCTCTCATCATAACAGAAGTCTTCCATCCTTGGTGCTGTTTTAGTAAGTCTCTCCTGCAACTGAGCAACAATTGAAAACTTCCTAAAGTGTGGTGCACAGAAGTCCAGTGAAGTCTGACAAGTAATTTATGAAGGCTTAGCAATAATTCAAGGAGCTAGGGTGGAAGCTTAGAGCTAGAACAAACAGAGTTGTTATCTCTGGTTTGTTACCCGTGCCACATGCTAGCGAGGCAAGGAATAGGGAGAGAGAGCAGTTGAACACGTGGCTACAGCGATGGTGCAGGAGGGAGGGATTCAGATACCTGGATAATTGGGGCTCATTCTGGGGTAGGTGGGACCTCTACAAACGGGATGGTCTACACCTGAACCAGAGGGGTACCAATATCCTGGGGGGGAAATTTGCTAATGCTCTTCGGGAGGGTTTAAACTAATTCAGCAGGGGGATGGGAACCTGAATTGTAGCTCCAGTGTACAGGAGGTTGATAGTAGTGAGGTCATGAATAAGGTTTCAAGGTCGCAGAAGTGTACCGGCAGGCAGGAAGGTGGTTTGAAGTGTGTCTACTTCAATACTAGGAGCATCCGGAATAAGGTGGGTGAACTTGCAGCATGGGTTGGTACCTGGGACTTCGATGTTGTGGCCATTTTGGAGGCATGGATAGAGCAGGGACAGGAATGGTTGTTGCAGGTTCCGGGGTTTAGATGTTTCACTAAGATCAGGGAAGGTGGTAAAAGAGGGGGAGGTGTGGCATTGTTAGTCAAGGACAGTATTACGGTAGCAGAAAGGACATTTGATGAGGACTCGTCTACTGAGGTAGTATGGGCTGAGGTTAGAACCAGGAAAGGAGAGGTCACCCTGTTGGGAGTTTTCTATAGGCCTCCAAAAAGTTCCAGAGATGTAGAGGAAAAGATTGCAAAGATGATTCTGGATAGGAGCGAAAGTAACAGGGTAGTTGTTATGGGGGACTTTAACTTTCCAAATATTGACTGGAAACGCTATAGTTCGAGTACTTTAGATGAGTCAGTTTTTGTCCAATGTGTGCAGGAGGGTTTCCTGACACAGTATGTAGATAGGCCAACAAGAGGCGAGGCCACATTGGATTTGGTACTGGGTAATGAACCAGGCCAGGTGTTAGATTTGGAGGTAGGTGAGCACTTTGGTGATAGTGACCACAATTCAGTTATGTTTACTTTAGCGATGGAAAGGGATAGGTATATCCCGCAGGGCAAGAGTTATAGCTGGGGGAAAGGCAATTATGAGGCGATTAGGCAAGATTTAGGATGCATAGGATGGAGAAGGAAACTGCAGGGGCTGGGCACAACTGAAATGTGGAGCTTGATCAAGGAACAGCTACTGCGTGTCTTTGAGAAGTATGTACCTGTCAGGCAGGGAGGAAGTGGTCGAGCGAGGGAACCGTGGTTTACTAAAGAAGTTGAATCTCTTGTCAAGAGGGAGAAGGAGGCTTATGTAGAGATGAGGCGTGAAGGCTCAGTTCGGGCACTTGAGAGTTACAAGTTAGCCAGGAAGGACCTAAAGAGAGAGCTAAGAAGAGCCAGGAGGGGACATGAGAAGTCTTTAGCAGGTAGGATCAAGAAAAACCCTAAAGCTTTCTCTAGGTATGTCAGGAATAAAAGAATGACTAGAGTAAGATTAAGGCCAGTCAAGGACAGTAGTGGGAAGTTGTGCATGGAGTCTGAAGAGATAGGAGAGGCGCTAAATGCATATTTTTCGTCAGTTTTCACACAGGAAAAAGACAATGTTGTTGAGGAGAATACTGAGATACAGGCTATTAGACTAGACGGGATTGAGGTTCATAAGGAGGAGGTGTTAGCAATTCTGGAAGGTGTGAAAATAGAGACGTCCCCTGGGCCGGATGGGATTTATCCTAGGATTCTCTGGGAAGCTAGAGAGGAGATTGCAGAGCCTTTGGCTTTGATCTTTATGTCGTCATTGTCTACAGGAATAGTGCCAGAAGACGACAGACTAGCAAATGTTGTCCCCTTGTTCAAGAAGGGGAGTAGAGACAACCCTGGTAATTATAGACCAGTGAGCCTTACTTCGGTTGTGGGTAAAGTGTTGGAAAGGATTATAAGAGATAGGATTTATAATCATCTAGAAAGGAATAATCTGATTAGGGATAGTCAACACGGTTTTGTGAAGGGTAGGTCGTGCCTCACAAACCTTATTGAGTTCTTTGAGAAGGTGACCAAACAGGTGGATGAGGGTAAAGCGGTTGATGTGGTGTATATGGATTTCAGTAAAGCATTTAATAAGGTTCCCCATGGTAGGCTATTGCAGAAAGTACGGAGGCATGGGATTGAGGGTGATTTAGTGGTTTGGATCAGAAATTTGCTGGCTGTAAGAAGACAGAGGGTGGTGGTTGATGGGAAATGTTCATCCTGGAGTTCAGTTACTAGTGGTGTACCTCAAGGATCTGTTTTGGGGCCACTGCTGTTTGTCATTTTTATAAATGACCTGGATGAGGGCGTAGAAGGATGGGTTAGTAAATTTGCGGATGACACCAAAGTCGGTGGAGTTGTGGATAGTGCGGAAGGATGTTGCAGGTTACAGAGGGACATAGATAAGCTGCAGAGCTGGGCTGAGAGGTGGCAAATGGAGTTTAATGCGGAAAAGTGTGAGGTGATTCACTTTGGAAGGAGTAACAGGAATACAGAGTACTGGGCTAATGGTAAGATTCTTGGTAGTGTGGATGAGCAGAGAAATCTCGGTGTACATGTGCATAGATCCCTGAAAGTTGCCACCCAGGTTGATAGGGTTGTTAAGAAGGCGTTCGGTGTGTTAGGTTTTATTGGTAGAGGGATTGAGTTTCGGAGCCATGAGGTCATGTTGCAGCTGTACAAAACTCTGGTGCGGCTGCACTTGGAGTATTGCGTATAGTTCTGGTCACCGCATTATAGGAAGGATATGGAAGCATTGGAAAGGGTGCAGAGGAGATTTACCAAGATGTTGCCTGGTATGGAGGGAAGGTCTTATGAGGAAAGGCTGAGGGACTTGAGGCTGTTTTCGTTAGAGAGAAGAAGGTTAAGAGGTGACTTAATAGAGACATACAAGATGATCAGAGGATTAGATAGGGTGGACAGCGGAAGCCTTTTTCCTCGGATGATGGTGGCTAGCACGAGGGGACATAGCTTTAAATTGAGAGGTGATAGATATAGGACAGATGTCAGAGGTAGGTTCTTTACTCAGAGAGTAGTAAGGGCGTGGAATGCCCTGCCTGCAAAAGTAGTAGACTCGCCAACTTTAAGGGCATTTAAATGGTCATTGGATAAACATATGGATGATAATGGAGTAGTTTAGGTTAGATGGGCTTCAGATTGGTTTCACAGGTCGGCGCAACATCGAGGGCCGAAGGGCTTGTACTGCGCTGTAATGTTCTATGTTCTATTACTCTAAGTAAATCCAAGAATCACATCTGCTTTTAACAACCTTCAATGATGACAGAAATTAGGGAAAATTGAAGAAAAGGTCCACTTATTACTTGCAATAATCCTATGTTATTGCTACTGACAAAAAAAATCCTGCAACAGCTGAAAAATACTCATACCTAGAAGTTGTAGATTGAATGAGGCTTTAAGCTGAGATGCCATTTTCTTGACCTGTTGAATGTTAAACATACCTCCCAATTTATACACACCTGACCTCAAAATGAGTGAGGTGAATTTTCCACTTCCCCACATGGTTGGTAACCTTAGAATTGCATCGCTTACCCATAGCAGATTCTACCTGATTTTTCATTCTGACAATTTCAGCGGACTGTAAATTAGATGGACTCTGTGATGGTTGATTTGCTGATTTCCATCCTGGTGGTGAAAATAACAATCTATCCCATTGTCTGTATGATTATCAGAGATCCACTCAGAATGGTCTACCAAATCCCGACCTTATTCACTATTTATCAACAGGCAATATTTTAGGATACCAACAGGCATTGCTTTTTCCCATTTGACTTTATGAAATAACATAGGTCTGGAACAGGGACAGCTCATCAATGAAGGTTTTATCTTATCTTTGAAATAATTAAAAGTGAACCTACCTGTTGTATATTGTCCAAGGAAATAATTTTGTCAGAAAAGGATCCAGAAATACAACAGGTGAGGCTTCACTGAAGAGGAGTGGAACACCAGTGACATGAAAGAGGCTCAAAATGAGGGACTTGATTTTGTTTTTAAGTAGTCAAAGTGCTTGGGGGAGGTTTCATAAAATCCCCTGCAAGGTGTTGCTTTCCAATGTGAGTCTCACACTGTTAAAACTAATAAAGAAATGAAACAAATAATGCATTAACCATGGTGCATGTGCACAGAATCACTAATGCAAGATATGTGTTGGCCTATACAGAAAGAAATCAAGTGTTTGTTACTTGTGCAAATGTTTGTGATTTGTGTGAGATTTAACATGGAAGTTGTGTTAGTAAATAGACATTTTAAAAAAATTAAGTTCTTCAAACACTGATGAAACAAGTGTTGAAAAGTATTCTAAACCGTGGGGTTTTAATGCAAGATTGCTTTGCACAGTGTTGCAAACATAAATGTGCATGTAGCAACACATTGGAGCCCAGTAAAGTTTGTTCAGGTCTTTATTAAAGTTACACTGTTCATTGTGGTTGATGTATGAATAGAAATCAGCTGAAGAGGAAGAGGAGGAAGAAGAAACAGAAGAGACAAAACCTGATCCACTCCATCAGTTGATTTTACACTTTAGCCGTACTGCTCTGACTGAGAAAAGGTAGGGATTTACACAATACTGTGTGCAATTTAGCACTAAAACTTAATTGCAGCTTTTGTTAAAATGTTGCGTTGAGGATGTTTATGAATGAGGATGAATTAATACTCTGCCTTCTCACTTCAAAGTTGAAAGACTAAAAAAGGGAAAACACTGCCTTATTTAAGAGTCCTGTATGGGTAAACATCTGATCACTATCTCATTCTAGGAGGTGGGTCCACAACAAAGCTATGCCTTTAAAATTGCAGCCTCCCTCAAAACAAACGGGAGAACTTTTGGGGAGGGATATCATAATCTCGTAATGATGCATTCAGGACTTGTATTAAGACATAATATTGGGCCAGTATTTCAGGAGATTTATTTGGCCTCTAACTGATCTGGAGCTTTTGCAGCATTTTTGAAATCAGAGTCCATTTTTAAACACCGCCATCACCATTGTGATAATGTAGTAACCCCAGAAATAATTGGCATAGTTTTAAATGCAAAAATTTAGGAGCTCACGTGACACAGCTGTAGTTTCCTACTTCTGAGCTAGGAGACCCGGGTACAAGTCCCACCTGCTCCAGAGGTGTAAACTAACATCTCTGAATAGGTTGGTAAAATATCTTGAATGCAAAAGTTAGATTTGCAGGTTGGTGATGTACAGAAGATTCTCAGATTTTTTTGATATGAGAAACATTATACTTTATCAATATTGAATTACATAAAAATGCAGCATAGAAACAGGTCATTCAAATCAAATAATCTATACCGAGGGTTATCACTCCGTATAAGTTTCTTGTCATTCCATCTACTGAATGTAAACCTTTCAGAATACCTTTCTATTTCCTTTGCTCTCATATACTAGTCTATTTTTCTCTGAACTCATCTATTTGTCTGAACCATTTCCTGAGTAAAGGAATTTTTCTATATTTCTGTTTGAAGGTATTCCTGTTCTGCATCATATATTTCTGGTCAGAACTTTGGATTCTTTTTCAGGTGGAAACAATCTCTCCACATCTATCTTGTCCAATCCATTGCTAAATTTAAAGATTCATTTTTTGGTTGGTGTAGTGCACTGGAAATCAAGCCCCACTATTCCTAGAGTTGTAACAAAAGTTAAAGTTTTTAAAAGAACTGCTCAAAATCCCCTTAATTCCTGTTTCACAGATTCAGGTTGATAGAAAGCAAGAACCAGATTCCTGTACTTAATAAGAATCACTCCTTATTGCAGGCCATTAGATTCTAGCCATAGGTAAACATTTAAATTAAATTAGGTAAACTGTACAAAGTAAAATTCTAAACCCTTATAAACTCCCCCTTACACACAATTCAGATTAACATGGAAAAAGACAAATGGACAGTGAGAAAACAATTCCATAGTCTTTGTCCATAAAATCTATTGGGTTGGTCTTTGCTACCTGAAGGGTTCTCCTTAACCTTCCTTTTCCTGAAAGCTTCCACTGGTTTGCAAGAGGCGCAGGGTGGCAGTTTCACTTATGAAAGGTCTCTGATCTATCCAATTCAAAATCATAACTTTCAGCATCTGCTGAAGGAAAGTGGCTTAGTACAGACCTATAGGTTTCTCTTCTGGCCTGACTGGCTTCTCTCTGTCTTGTTCATAGTCTAAGCTATTCAGCTACCTGACAATCAATCACTTTGTTGGCAGGCAGAGGGCTGTTCTCATTAATTGTGAATTAGGAACCAATTATCAATCAGTTTCACTTGTAAACAATCCTTCAGCTCCAGTTCATCTGCATATTTCTAGAATCCACAGCTACCCAAACAGGTTCACAATAGGTTTCAAGTTCCTTGCATTCAAACCATGCAGCCACCCTTGTAAATCCCTGGGTTTAAAACCATTCTTCTTCATAGCATTGAAAAGCACAAAAAATAAAGACACAGTCTTTCCAAGATCTACTCTTAAGTTTCTCTTTTCTAAAAGGAAGAGAAAATAATCTATTCAATCTTTTCTAATTTAAAAACAACTCCCTTACCCGATAGTATTGTGAGATTTTGGGTTCATGAGCCACAGTTAAAGAACACTGGCAGTTAACTGTTCAGAAGTAATTTTATTATAGTTTAAGAAGCCTCAGTTCAGACTTAAAGCATTGGCTAAATAGACAAAGTATCAACTTTTAACAGTTGAGACCAGTTCATTGATATCAGAGGATGAATGGAGTGTTGTCACAGAGTGATGGTGATTGCAGCAGCTTGTAATCATTGTGATCAATCATTGTGACCTTTTAAATCTACCTTATTCTGGTCCCTGACTACTCGGAATTGTTTGAAGTTCTCAGAGAGTGAGAGATGGAGAGCAAAAACTACAGTGCAGAGCCAGCTAATTCATTAAAGTTCTGTACTATACTGAAAAATTACAACTTATTAAGGATCCTTAATTCTTAAAGTGCTCACATGCTCAGATATATTAAAATTCTCTTAATACGATAGTGAGGTTGAAGTTTTTCCATGATTTAGCAACAGAAAATGGTTACTATTACATGTCAGATTATATCTTATAATTCAATATTTTCAACCAGTCCACATAAAGCAAGAGTGTTGACAATAATTTTCAATTCCTCTGTGGCCACAGGAAAGATGACAGACGACTGGATGACAGCCAATGTGGTACCATTATTCAAGCAGGGAGGAAAGGATAAACCAGGAAACCACAGGCCAATCAGTCTATCCCTCAGTGGTGGGAAAATTATTGGAAACAATTCTGAGGGATTAGAGGCAATTCTGAGAGGCAGGATTAATCTGCATTTGAGAGGCAGGGATTAATCAAGATTGGTTAACATGGGTTTTGTTAAGGGGAGGTCATGTCTGACCAACTTGATTGAATTTTCCAAAGAGGTGAGCAGGTATGTGCAAGAGCACAATGTCTTTTATGTAGTCTACTTGGACTTCAGCAAAGCTTTTGATAAGATCCCACTCAATTGTAGCTTTTGCTAAAATGTTGCATTGAGTATAGCAAAAGTAAGAGCCAGGGGATCTCAGGAAATTTGGATACTTGAATCCAGAATTGGCTGGGTGGCAGGAAGCAGAGTGTAATCATAGAGGGGTGTTTTTATGACTTGAAACCTGTACCCAGTGGGATTCCAGGGATCAGTGGTAGAGCCATTGCTCTTTGTCGTATATGTAAATGATTTAGGCTTGAATGTATGAAGGTTGATTAATAAATTTGTGGAAACGAAAATTGGTGGGGTGGTAAATAGTGATGAGGATAGCCTTGCATTACAGCAAGATATAGATGGACTGGTCACCTAGCTGAAGTTGCAAATGGAATTCAATCCAGATAAATGTGAGTTGATACACTAGGGCAGGATAAACAAGGCAAGGGAATACATGATGAACTGTAGGACCCTGGGAGGCACCCAGGATCAGAGCGACCTAGGTGTGCATCTCCACCAGTCTCTTAAGGTAGTGGAACAGGTGGATAAAGGAGTTAAGAGGTGGAGAGGACACTTGCCTTTAATAGCCGAGTAATGGAGTTTAAGAGCAGGGATGTTATGCTGGAACTGTATAAGTAGTCGGTTAGACCACAGCTAGTGTATTGTATGAGGTTCTGGGATCCACATTATAGGATCAGAGAGGGTGCAAAGGAGATTTACCAGGATGTTTCCTGGGCTGGAGAGTTTTAGTCGTGAAAAGAGATTGGATAGACTCTGTGTATTTTCCTTAGAACAGAGCAAACTGAAGGGGGACATGATTGGGATGCATAAAGTTATGAGGAGTATACTTACATCGGCCGAGAAGGAACTTCTACCCTTGGTGGCAGGCATCATGGCGGGAAGGGGGTGAGGGGTGCGATGCACAAATTTCCAATAAGGGACAATGTTTAGAGGAGATGTAAGGAAAAGATTTTCACCCAGAGGGTGGTGGGAATCTGGAACTTACTGCCTGAAAGGATGGTAGATGCAGAAATCCACATAACATTTATGTGTCTTGTAGAAAAACACAGTTGCACTGATAACCCCACATCTAAAATACCTAATTCTTCAATAATGTCTTGGAGCTGTTAATTAAGCTGTGAATTTGCACAACCCCACCAATAATGACAGATTGTGGAAGTGGTCAAGTAGCAATAATGCTACAATGATAGCGTTTAGAGTATGCCAACAAATATCAATTGAAATTTATAGAGCAGATTTTTATCATTCTTGCTGAGATAAGTTTTTTTTTAAAGGAAAGGGCAGGGCGTTTAAATAATTGTATAACTTGAAAGTTCTACATATGTTACCCATTGTTCATAGGCATTTATGTTTCCACCATAATGTCATGGAACACGCATAGTAGATTGAGGCCTTTCTAAAGCACAAATCGGATTTCTTGTCTGTGCACTAAGTGGCCCATTCATCTCCTGTTCATGCCTGTGCTTTTTACATGATCCCCCTTATCCCTTCCGGGGATAATTGGGATCATCTGGAAATTGGGTCAGATCATCCGGGTTCCATCCACTATTTTTAAAAGCTCTGGACCCCATGCAGTTCTGCAAAAAAATCCAGCCATTAGTTGGTTTACTTAACTAAATTTTCTGTCACCTGGGAAGGAAGCATACTCTTTTTAAGGAATATCGCAAAAAAGGAGTTCCAGCGCAGCAAGAGATTATGAAAAAAAAATTGAAAGTGCATTAAAAATTAAATGTGATTTGGTATGGTTTGCTGTATTCTGAAATAAAGCCGTATAATCAAACAACAAACATTGTTTTATGGGAGTGATAGTATTGTGAAGGTGGAGTATATATTTTGTGCTGTTTTCAAAATAACAAAAATAAGCCTTCGCTGTATACTTAAATTCATGACAATGAGTGAGCTAACTCATAAAATGACGCCTTTTAGAATGTCGGGTTTCAATTGCATTTTCTTTCAGATTTCAGTATGTTAAAAACAATTTTTTTTGAATTATACAGCAAACTAGAAATGGACCATCTCTACATGTCATATGCTGATATCATGGCAAAGGTCAGTTCAAAGTCATTTATTCTAATAGATATTTACAGTCCTTTCAACGGAGACCAATAATAGCATGGTGTTTTTTTTTTGAACATGAAATGCACTTACAAACCTGCTGCATTGTACACACCTTGACATCATTTACTTTTCACATTTGAAAATCCAAAGGTAGCCAATTTTCATTTTTAATCAGTTGCAGTTTATCAGACTCTGTTTTGCTACTGTTTCTCTAAACAAAAATTCCTTGGGAATCTAGAAGTTAAAATTTCAAGCTCGTGACTCCCTGATGACTCAGTCAGGCTGAAATCCTACAGTGTCTGCTCTGCATTCAGTAAAGTTATAGCCCGTGTCCCAAGCAACTTCTAATCACTGACTCCATCTGAAATTTTGAAGGTCGCAGTCAGTAGCATATTTGTGAGGAGTTATTCATGCCTGTAATGTGCACCAGTTGCACCTATCCCAATCCTGCAACACAACGTGCAGCCAGGGCACTGGGGGAACCTGGAGACCTTTTTCAAATGCAAATAAGTTGTGGATGCCAGGGATGTTCAGCTCCAGTGGTAATAATAACAGTTACAGTGAGATAATCAACTCCATCTAGCATTGATTACTTTACAAGTTCCAGGATGTTGGAGAAACACAAGCTAGCTCTCCTTTAAGTGTGAATTTCCCTTAATGTGCCTCCTATAACAAGTACAGAAGATCTAGCCATTGCTGCCTCTTCATCCTCCTCGTCCAAAGAGATTTAAACAAGTTTATTCTGGCATCCATGTGTTTTGATTTTTGGGTAATCGCATTAAGTTGTGAATATCTTTATATAAAGTTAAGGAGAAATAGATGGTAATAATTAGTTGTCATTAATTGTGAACATCTGTAACAGTTTGTTCAGTTATACATAAGAGCACTTCGGGATATAAAAAGAGAAAATATAAAATGGAGGAAAGGGGCTCATGTGGTGCAGTCATGGTGTCTCTGCTCTGACCCAGGAGGCCTTGAGAGTTCAGGCCATGCTGTGCAAACATAAAATCTGTAACACTGAGGGTGGAAGAAGCTGTAAGACTGAGTAGTCAGTAAACTCTGTCCGAAAAAGAGGTGTCTTCGTTTTCTGAGTCACCAACTAGCTTGGCTCAAGATTGATACAGTACAGTACTGAGGGAATGTCCAAGGTGCTATTCTTTATTAAAGCAAGGCTACATATGCTTGTTTAGAAGATTAAAGATCCTGTGATGCTATTTTGGCGAAGAGCAGAGGACTTCAGGTACACATTGAAGCACGGAAAGCTGGAGGTTTTAAGATTGATTCCAAATCTGCAATGTTGGCAAATCTCAACCACAACACTGATCGAGTAACTATTATTAATCTACATTGTCATGAGAAAAATTGATCAGTCAGCCCTCCAGATCATTATCCAGTGCCTTTGCTGGATAGCATAGGCCTCGACTGCTTTTGCATGGCTGTTTGCACCATCAAGGCTCTGACACAAATGATGGCCACAAGGATGTTTTTGCATAATCATAAGTCACAATTAAAGAGTGGGTGTACAAAGAAAAGTATTTAAGTTAATGCGCTCATCCTCACTTGTAATTTCATTGTTCATTGTATTCATATCAGAATGCTGAGTTCCTGTAGCAACTTCCAAAAAGAAACTAAGTGCTTCCATACTGCGGGTATGAAACCGTGGCGCAGGTCATCCATTGGGAAGATAGTTATACTGAAATCGTAGACAGGAGTTATGTGTCAGGACTATGTAGAAGTCCCAAGGTGGTTGACTCTATGGAAATTGCCCTGGAAATTGAAACTTCCCCTGAATAATTACCTGATGTGTGGAAAATTCTGGAAATGTCCCCAACCCATGAATTAGAGTCAGAGACTTCAGAGAATTCCAACTGCCTGACTGACTTGAATAGATGACCAGGAAAAGTTAGAAGAATTAAGACCTGCGCAAGCTCCTGGCTAATTATAAAACTGAACCATCCAACTCACCACTGGCACCCAAAATAAGCCCCCTTCCCTCCAATCTGACACACGTACTCTCAAACTTGCGACTCCATGCCCCTGCAAATTGGCGTTCCACCCCTCTTCCGATCTCTACAACAACCCTCCCCTCATCCTGACCAGACCAACCCTGACGGCCTCAATTCTCCAACTTATCCCTGCTTCACACACTATTTGTGCTAAGTCTTGACTCACTTACCTGCCACCCTACCCCTACTCACCTGGCACCCTGTCCCCTCACTCAGCTGGTATTCTATCTATACATCAGTTACTCTGAACACCAAACACTTGCCAACTTTAATCCTCCAACCATCTGTCATGCTGCTGCTACTCCACCATTTGGCACCCTACCCCTTCACCCATCAGCGAAAAAAATCCCTCAGCCAACTGACATTCTATCCCTTCAGCCACCTGGCACCCTACATACCTTCCAAACTACCCTTCTGTAAATAGCTGTCAGTGTCTTTAGGATTTTGAAATTGTGTAATACGGCAGTTACTACTGCAAAAGGTTTCAGTATTGATCCATCCCATTGCTGCCTGTATGGATGCCTGGACTGTGCAACTCCTGGCCAAAAGTTCAGCCAGAAATCTCCTTCACAGGTAAGCAGACATCTTTTAGTACGACCTGGGTTGGAAATAGGGATTCTCACCCTATCAGTAGATCGTAAGATTTGAACCTATATGAATTGGTTTAAGTGAAACATGGAACTATAGCAAACATGCATATTTTGTGTTAGTTTTGTAGCCCAATTCCTATTGTTCCTTCTCATGGTAAAATTTAAGAAGTTACTCACTACTAGTCCTATTCTTTATTTCAGAGTTGTCATCTTAAAGAGGAAGGTGGTGAGGAAGAAGATGAAGAAGCTGTAGAACTAACCTTTGAAGTAAGTCAGTGATGAGCTACAAAAAATTTTAAGACAGTGTTAAGTTCTAAAATTCAGCCCCTGCCCATCAAAGAAAGTAACCAGACAAATGGATAAATTCTGACTGAAAATTGTACATTCCAGGCGGCTGCCATGTAGGTGCATAAAATGTCATGCATCACTAGTGTGCGTAATACTGGCCATCCCTTTACTTATGACGCACGATTAACTGATGATTTTTCTACTTCTAATTCCATTAACTTCTTTCATAAAGCCTTCTTTTGAATATTTATCTCCAATAGTAGCTCATCCATATTCTGTAGTCCTCCAGTGTTCTTAAGTACTTCTCTGAAAACCATAGCAAAATGCTTATTAAGCATCTCTCTCTCTCACCTTATTTCTGAATATGGTAAGTCACGTTCATTCATCATTCCCATGTTAGCTATCCTACGTTGGCTCCAGTCTAGCAAAGCATTGATTTTAAAATTCAGATTCTTGTTTTCAAATCCTTCCTCATCTCTGAATCCTACTCCTGTCTTATAGCCTGCTAAGATCTTTGTTCTCCTCAAATGCCGTCCTCTTGTGAATCTCTGATCTGGATGGCCTTGCCATCTACTGGACTTCCCTCCCTAAATTTCGCTGTCTTTCTAACACACACTCTGGTCTATTAATATAGAATCTTTAAAACTTATCTCACACCAAATTTTTGGTCACCTGCCCTAATACCACCTCATGTGGCTTGATGTCATAGTTTGTTTCATTTTCCTGTGAAGCTTCTTGGGACATTTTACTATGTACAAGTTGCACTGTGTCAAGTTACAAGCTGTCATTGTGTATAAAGCAAAGCAAGCAAGCTAGCTATAAGAACAAAAACAAAGTTGCTGGAAAAGCTCAGCAGGTCTGGCAGAATCTGTGAAGGAGAAGACAGAGTTGGCGTTTCAGGTCCGGTGACCCTTCCTCCGAACTGATGGTGGCTGGGAAAACGACAGTTTATATGGTTTATAAGCAGTAAGAGTTCAGAAATATCCCCAGCAGCCCTCACCATCTTCTGTTGTAATTTCAACAGGTCAAAACAAATCTCATTTAAGGGTAGGACTTGTGTCAGACTTCTGCTGAGGCTGTAGCAACCAAATTTCAGAACCTCCAAGGAAATGTAACAAACTTTAAGTCATGCTTGCTGTGGGTAATAGAGTTGCATCATTGACTTGTTTTGTCAACCAAGCAGATGAACCAACTGCAAAAGAATGAATATTAAGTTCAGAAAATTCATGCTATTCTACAATCCCCTTAGGAAAAGGAGATGGAGAAGCAAAGACTCCTGTACCAGCAATCCAGATTGCACAGCCGGGGAGCTGCTGAGATGGTTCTGCAAATGATCAGTGCATGCAAAGGTACAGATTTTAAAATATGTGTATTTTAAAAACATGAATTTTTCAGTTTCACTAATGTAACCTCTAACCTGTACCAGTTCACTCAATGTAGTCTACTGTACTTGCTCCTCTACGTTGGGGACATGAAACACAGACTGGACAACCACTTTGTTTAACACCAACATTCTGTCTACAAAAATGACCCTGAGCTTCCTTTTGCCTGCCACTTCAACACACAACTGTGTTCCCTCACCAGCATCCCTATCTCGGGCTTGCTGCAGTGCTCCAGCAAAGCTCTGCACAAGCCGGAAGAGTAGCATCTCATTTGTTGCTTTGGGTTCCTGAAGCCTTCAGGACTCTATCGAGTTCAACAAGTTTAGCGCCTGAGCACCTTTTCCCGTATCTTTACCCCAACACCAGGCCTTGTCATCCCAAGGGCTGCTACCACAACCAATGCATTGTCAGCTGCCTATGGTCCCATTACCAGTTATTGATTCTCCCAGGCTGACCTATACCCATTCCTTTGTCTGCACATGTTGTTCTCTCTGTCTCTCAGCTCCGTCTCAACCTATCATTTATTCCATCCACCCACCCTATCTTCGTATATACCACCCTTTTCCTGGCTGCAATCTGTTCTGAGGAAGGGTCACTGGACCCAAAATGTTGACTCTGCTTTCTCTACGCGGATGCTGCTAAACCGGCTGGGTTGCCAGCAGTTTCTATCTTTGTTTTTGTTTCTGATTTCTAGCATCTGAATTTCTTTGGTTTTTTAATCTACCCTGCAGCAGTGGCCAAAGACCCAGAATAAGGTGCCATCTCCTTTGTATCGTTGTCGCTCCAACCTAGCAGTGAGCTTTTTGGTATCATGAAGTACATGCTGTACAAACTTTAAACTACATCTTGTTCATCCTGTCTTTGTATTTCTACCTCATGAGAGGTAGAAGGAAGTCAGACCCAGTGAGCTAGGAGTTGCAGTGATTGAGCAGCTGCTTTTAAGGTCGAGCCAGGAGAAGCACTCTTCCTCTTCCCGGTTTCACAGTCAGAGGTACATAGCTGAGCTGTTTTTGTTGTTCCAGAAAATCATATGTGTGAGTTTCTCGAAGGACAGCAAACTATGGTGTTAGCTGCCTCACAAAAGTTTAATCGTTATGGGCGGGCATATACAAGAATCTAACCTGTTTCAGAGTGCAGATCAAGGATGCACCTCCTCCATTTTCCTTTGTCAAATATGGAAAGTGAGATGCTTACCATCACAGTAGGCTCACTGTCATTTTGAGAAACTAGGAGGGGACTGCACTGAACAATTTCTAAGTCAGTGTCTGTTAAGTTGTTTCTTTTTCACTCCATGCAAATCCAAGTAACAAAATAGTATGATAGTGCAAGCACTGCTCTAATTATTTAAGATGTGGAGCTGCCGGTGTTGGACTGGATGGACAGTAGGAAGTCACATGACACCAGTTTATAGTCTGACAGGTTTATTTGAAACACAAGCTTTCGGAGCACTGCTGCTTCATCAGGTGAAGTGGAGGGAAGCATACAGGCATAGAATATATAGGCGGAGAGATAATGGTAAGGTAATTCCAAGTAATTAAGAGTATCTGGAATTATCTTGCCGTTATCTCTCCCCCTATATATTCTGTGTTTGTGTGCTTCCCTCCACTTCACCTGACAAAGGAGCAGTGCTCGAAAAGCTTGTGATTTCAAATAAACCTGTTGGACTGTAACCTGGTGTCGTGTGACTTCTGACTGATTATTTAACTCAGTGGTAACTTTACAAAAAGACAAATAGTGTGTTAGTAAAACTTCAAACAGGGTTATACTACTCTTGTAAGACAGCAATCTTGTTAGATTTAGTTCAATGATATTCTTCAAAATTCAGCAGATGCCTGTTTTGCCAATATTTTTCTTGTTTCTCATTTTTCAGGTGAGCCAGGCGTAATGGTTTCCTCAACCCTGAAACTTGGTATTTCCATTCTGAATGGTGGTAACTGTGAGGTTCAGCAGGTAAAGAAATACTAAACACCAATTTAATTTTATTTATTTAGCATCCGCATTGTCACACAGTGCGGACGTAGCCTTGTCCATGGCTGGATGGAGTCTTTCAGCTCACTTTGTTTAGTCAGTAGACTATGTGCGACAGTGAGAGTTATTGTTTGGACTATCCATTGCTGCAATCTGAATGGTCTTGACAATCCCACTGATGTTAGGTGGCTGCACATAGGCCTTAGCAAGTCCAGCCACAGGTTAAAACACTGTCACCATAGGTGGTATAAGCCAGGTGAATGAACATTACGTCTGCAGTGAGATGGCATTTTCGTCTGCCAGTCTTTCTGCCATTGGTCCTCAGCTGTTACTCCTCAGTGTTATGGGTTTAATTGCATGATTGGGGTGAAGGAACGTGACCTGCTGGTGAATTGAGGCAATCATTAAATAAGGCAGGCTTGGGTTGGAGTAGATCTTCTCCAGTAGCTGGAATATTATTCATCCTCCTAACACAGGAGTGTGGGCAGTATTGCCCAGGACTAGTAGCAAAGGCAGGTGAATTGGTCAAAGAGTGTTTGGGCTGGTGCACATTGGTAAGTATTCTGGGCAGATTGCTGCCATTGCTGGAACACGGTATTCAGCAGTTCAGTGCACTAATATTGTCTTATTCAATGTTTTTATACTGAATGTCATCTGTGCATTATCATAATGCATTATATTTTTGCAGTTATGAGAGAAATATGTATGAAGGTGATTGATATGAGAAAAAGTTGCCAATTGCTGCTGTACAATTGATAGAATTGATAAATTACAAAAAGTAACCGTAACCATATATGATTGTTCACTGAATTGTTAATAATGGTATTTTGTTCAAGAAATGCGTCGCTGCCCAAAGGCTGAAATGCAGAGTGACTTGAATCAGAAATTTTATATAAAGGCTAAGTAATCAGCGTAAAAATGTTGAAGTATTATGTTCTTTGTTTAGAAAATGCTAGACTACCTGAAAGAGAAAAAGGACATTGGTTTCTTCCAAAGCGTACAAGTTCTCATGCAAACCTGCAGGTGAGTGGTTTTCACTATGATATTGCAAGATAGACTGTTGTGAGTTTACACTTTTAACCCAGCTACAATAAAATTCAATAAGCAAGGTTGTCAGTTTGGTTACATTTCCAGTGCACTCAGTCCTCATTACCTGCAGATTCACCACCAGCAACTTGCAACGTCAGCCCTGGGCCCTACTTTTGTTTCCTTATCAACCTGTATGGTCTGATTGTCTGGCCCTTCCAGTTGGTTAGGGCAGTTACGTGGTAGTAGTATCTGCATTTCTGTTATCTGTGGGAAGTCTGTGCACCTATCCCCGCAGTTAACCAGGATTTGCTGTATAGATCGTTGGTCAAACTAATGCTGTATCATTAGGTTCACACAGGGTTGACAGTTATACCATCAAACGATAAGAGTTCTGCTTAGGCGATGATATGTCACTCCATTAAACACTAGAAGCAGTACAATACCAGAGATGGAAATTAATTAGGAGAGGTTTGAGATATTGAGATTATTTCCATTGGAATAGAAAGAGGTTTAAACGAGATTTAGCATTGCTTTATAAAACTGTGACAAAAACAGACGTTGCTGGAGAAGCTCAGCAGGTCTGGCAACATCTATGGTGAGAAAGCAGAGTTAATATTTTAATTCCACTGACCCTTCTTCAGAACTGACAGTAGCTGGGAAAAGGTGGTATTTTTGCTGATGAGAGAACCTGACCAGCATCCCAATTCACCTCACGGTCTAAATAGTGACACATCTTCCAGGTGAAACAGTGATATGTGTGAACTTCATTCAATCTAGTCTACATTGTATTTGCTGCTCACAGTGTGGTCCTCTCTACCCTGGGGAGACGAAACACAGACTAGTGACCGCTTTGTGGAACACCTATGTTCTATCTGTAAGAAATGACCCCGAACACTTCAACCCATGTTCCTTGGCCAACATCTCTGTCTCAAGCTTGATCCAGTGAGGCTCAGCACAAGGTGGAAGAATAGCATCTCATCTGTTTGAGGACCTCCAGCCTTCAAGACTCAATATCGATAATTTTAAGGCCTGAACACCTCTTTCCATGTCCTTTACTTGCCCTATGCCCTGTCATGACATGGGCTGCTTTTAGCACAGCCAACCTATTTTCATCTTTTCATGGTCTCCATTACCAGCTTTTCTCCTCCTTCCCTGGCCCACGCTGTGTCTCGCGCTCTCTGTCTCTCGCATGTGTCCCGGGGCTTTAGTCTGAGCCTCTTGAGCACCATATTATCACCATGCCACCTCTCTTTTCTTCTCCTCGTTGCCCAGCCCCTGCAAGAATCCAGGCAGATAGTCAAAGTGTATGTGTTCCTAGGCAGAATCTTGCATGTGAAATGCAGGGAATAATTTAATCAAGATTCTCTAAATTTAGATTTTGCTTTTCCTCTGCACTCCGCCCACTCATTCTATAACCGTGGTGTTAGGTAGTGAGCAGTTTGCCAGCAGTGATTTTGAAGCCCCGCTGATGAATGCTGTTATTGTTAAGTAATAAGAGGCTGGCTATGTTGGTGCACTGGAAAAATAATAAGCTTTGTAGTTCTGTCATCCGTCATCGTGATGATTGCAGACTTTAGCAGTAACAGGCATCTATTCCCTTATCCTTGTGCAAATGACTTTTGATATTTCCAGCAACAGCTGCTACATTATGAGCATCATTAACATATGCTGCTAATCTCGACATACACAGTGCAATGTACATAGATATATCAAAACATCTAGACTAGCTTTTGAAATGTTAGTGTTAAAAAATAAGAACTTGTGTGGAATTAGACATAACGCATTTCTAGTTTTATAAAGCCAAAGGCATTTACAGCACAGGATGCCATTCACACAACATCAGTTCCTTTTGGAGAGTGCTAACTGATTTATTGAAGTGCACAAGACCTATTAAATTTATTCTCTGTTATGCATGTGCAGTTACTCGGAGGCCAACTTGTGTGTGACCTGTGAGAGAACTGAGTGCAGCACATCAGTGAAGCTTAAAAGGAACGTTACCTCTGTATTAGTTCTTTGCATTCAAAGACTTAACTCCACTACCCTGCTGTCTCTCCTCATAGCCCTGTATCTTTCCCTGCTTCAGCAATTTATTTTTAACTATTTTTATATAGCTTACTTACCCTGCAATAAGGTTTATGCAGCTTACTTACACTGCAATAAAAAGTACTGCAACGCCAGAGATCAAAGCCTGGTCAAGAGCAGAAACTTCAATGTAATGAAGTCTTCCAAGTTTTATTTCGCCATTCTTTTGTTGAAATGATACATAAGAAGTGTTAACTTTAAGTTCTGTGCCTTATCAATTCTGGAAATCATGTGTTAACAGCGTGCTCGACCTCAATGCTTTTGAAAGACAGAATAAGGCTGAAGGTCTAGGCATGGTCACAGAAGATGGAACCAGTAAGTAGCTTTGTGCTGCAGCTCACAACAAATAGTTGAATAAAAGCAAGTTTGAAATTAGAAAGTAACAAGATAATATTTGTGAAACTATAATGTATCTATGAAGAAAAAATTACAACATTCTCATTGAAGATGTGTAAAAGCATTACTGTAGTGGAGCATCTAATATTCACATTAGAGACCTACACCCAACATTTTGAAATATTTTTAATTTTTTCATTTGCTTTATTGAATTTGTTGTTTAGTTTTTTCCTCTAACTTTGTAGATCAGTTAATCAATCTGTTCTAGTTTATAATTGGTTCAGTTGATTTTATTTAATTAGTATTTATTGAATGATTGCAATTGTGTTTCTGTTTCTATTTTTTGCTCATTTTGCGTCCTTTTTTTCTTTTTCACTTTTCTCTGGTCCACAGTCATCAAACGTGAAAGTGGTAAATAATTGTTTAGGGGTGTTTATTTCTTGTTTTTCTTTTCTCACGTGATCTTTGTGCAGGTCAAAACCAACAAAACAGCGCCTGATTCCGTGGCCGCTTGCCACAAATGTATACAGTCCAGATCCAGCCTGGTATTATTAGTGGAATTTGAAGAGCTTTGAGCTCCACATTAATTTGCTGCTTCTGAACCTGATGTGAAGTGATCCATTAGGAACAGAGCCTTAAAAATAAAATCAATCCAAGTCAATTCACAGCACAGTGCCCGTGGCGCACAACTCCTAAGAGGCAGTCAATTTATACTAGTACAAAATTATTTTTCCGAAGTTTGTAGCAAAACGGGTGACTTCTTACAGTAAAACAATTTGAATCAATTGAAGCTAAATTCACTGGCCCCTTTTAATATATTGTCTCTCCTGTGGATAAGACAAATTGTTCTCCAGCTAAATGTTCCTGATTCTCCATATGGACCCTGGGGGAATGCTATTACTCCGCCCACAATGGGTAGGAGCCAGTTAAGATGACTAAAATTAACAAGCCACATGACAAGTCTCCAGACTGTCTCTTCCTGCCACCTCCTTCCCCCAACACTGCCAGAACTAAATATCCCTGTTTGCTGGGTCTGTTGCCAAACTTCCCTTGCCCGAGTTAGGCCCTCTATCCTTCACCTTCCCCGTTTCCCTCTGTAAATTAGAGGACCTTGGGAAGCTGGGCATGGAGCTCCAGCTGGCCAAGATTGGAATGCAGTTTAGGCATTCTTGTCTTGCTGGCTCAGTCTGGAAATGAGTTTAATGCCTTGTGTGTCATCAAGGATGTGAGGAGGCTATTACGCTCAGGAAACGTTCCTGTTCTCACCACTTGCCATTGGCATTCTGAAAGAATTTACAGATTAATAACCATGTTGTTCCACATTATGACACATTTTCCATGGCTGTCAAGTCTTGAGGTTGGACTTGAACCTGGAATTTCTGGCCAGGAGATAGGAATGCTATCCACTGCATCATAAGACCTCTTAGAATGCAACAACAGATGCAAGTGCACCATCTTCAACTAATGTGCATAACAGTAAGTTAGGTGGTTACAATAAGAAGGCAATTTAGCTTTGATATTTAAAAAATTGCACTAATTTTCAGTGTGATTTTAAAATAACAATTTGTTTTATACAGGAAATGTAACAATCAACATTTCTAAAACACTTGTTCTCAAAGTTAGTGAAGGAGTCAAGTACTGAACCTCTAAGTAATGGAGGATTATGTGGCATTAAAGGATTAAACAAATTTACATAAAATTTTAAAAACAAAATTGCATTTAGAATAGATTATCAAGAGAGTTATTAATTTTTCCTTTTAAAATCATCTTCAGCTTTTGATCAGATTGCTGTTTTTTTGGTTAATTAAGATCTGCAGTGCATGTTCAAAAATAATTTGAATGAATATCTGTCTGATTTTGCTTGTAACATTTGATAATCTTGAACATGCCCAAACTCAGTGCATTGCCAGGTGAGAGTTTCTAGTGTGAATAGAATATATAACACCAGCGGATTTTGCGTATGCTTTTAAAATTAACAGCTGAATTATTTTAAAAGCATTTGTGAGAAGGCAGTAACGTTTAAATGATTTGATGAGTACTAAAGGTATAATAGTTAATTATGTTTAACCCCTTATTGGTTAATCTATTTTTCAGAAGGCAAACAAAACGGTTCTGGTATGTTGATGAGTATTGCCAGCGAAAGGATTGTTGCATTGTGTGTTTTTATTTTTGGAACTCTCACTCATCTACTTATACATTCTCCGTCAAGTAGATTTTATCTCATAAAGTCGTGATTACTACTGTCTATAACTAATTCATCCCATTCATGTTGAGTGACTACTATGTCTCTTCATTTAATATTGTTGAGAAACAGTGGCTAAATTTTCACTTTAGCTGAAAGGCACAATTTGGTCTAAATCTAGTCCGCTTTGATTCTAGCAGCTAGTGCAAATGCAATGTTCATAGCAGTCAGTGAATCTGCTGAGTTTTCTCATTGTCTGTGAAAAAGGGGTTGTCTGATAAAGACAGATAGGAATAACCTCTTTTAAATGCTTAAGTAACCTTGCTCTTCCTCCATTTTAAAAACTACAGAAACTCCAGGTCAGAGTCAGCTTTTAGCATGCATTCTAAAAGCAGCTTTTGTATTCGAAGAAAGTGAATTCATCACAAGCATGATGGCAGTAAATAAAATATTTTAGTGACAGAGAAATCAATATCCTTGTGATAATGTGCTTGCTTTATCTGCTGAACCTGATAACCGGCTTTTATGGAAGAATTCAAAAATGAAACTACCGCATACCATCTGTGTGACTATCATTAATAAATATATATAAATATATATAAGGTCGTTCACAATTGGGGGAAAAAAAATAGAATCACTCATTCATTACGTTCCATCGTTTCCTTTTTCTTTCATATGTCATTGTCCAGGATTTGTCGTTCATCCCATTCCTAGTTATCCTTGAATCGATTGACTTGTTTGACCATTTCAGGGGGCAGTTAACCATATTACTGTGACCTGGAATCACATATAGACCAGACCAGTTGAAGATGGCAGATTTCTTTACCTCAAGAATATTAGTGAACCAGAGAGTTTTTACAAAAATTAATAATAGTTGCCATAGTTACCACTACTAAGACTAGCTTTATTTTCCAGATTTTAGAAGTGTAATTTAATTTCCACCAGCTGCCAGGGTGGTATTTGAGCCCATGCTCCCAGGCTGTTAGTTGGGTCCCTGATTACTAAACCAGTGACATGACCATTGTACCATCATCTCACCAATAAGCTACCTGAAATGACTGATCTAATTTGAGCGGAGTAGTGTTTTGATGGTTACTGTACAAAACTGGTAGAGGGGAGTGGAAATCCCACATGCTTTGTTGTTAAATTGAGCTCAATAATTCTCAAGAAAGATGTAAAAGCCCGGTTGGACCCCAGATCTTGTGCTGATCAACAATTATTTTGGCAGGTAATATGGTACACAGTTCATTTCTGCTCTGAGAGTTCATTATAGAGCAAAATTTTATTTTGGCAGGAACATGAAAGAGGCAGAATGCGGTCAGCTGCCTGTTACACCCTGTATTTGATTTTTCCATTCCACTGAAGTTACCAAAAATTGCGCAAGGTGCAAAACGGACAACCAGTCTTCTTCATCACTGTGCATGTCATAGTGCTGCTGAAGATGAAATTTGTCAGGTAGCTGCTGGGCATTACAGGACTCAGTAAATCCACTCACCAAATAAAGGGATGAAAGGAAAGGACTTGCCAAGGTATTAGTTTTCCAATTTTTAGCAGTTCAATGGTTGAGAGACCAGACCTACCCATTACTGCACCAGAATGTGGCAGCTACAGCAGAAACAATACATTGTGGGGTATTTTGTGGAGCCTGCAAGAACAGAAAACATGTCGTGCTGTAATAATTAACTATGCAGGATCAAAATTTCCATTTCCCAATGGCAGGTTAAAATATAGAGATGAAAACAGCAGGATGCTGTGAAGCACCATTCCTCGTTGATTTTCATTCCATAAGTACACATTGGCATAAATCCATTTTTTAATTAGGTCCTACCTTCAAGTTAAAGACGGCAATGTAACAGAATTGCATGGCAACCAGTTCATCTTTGTTTAAAGGTAATGGAAGCAAAAGGCTTTATGTACTTGTGTTTGAGGTCAGCGCCTTTCCTCGTTAACCTTACAGCACAACGGAGGGAACCAGTGGAATGACACCTTGCATAGAGATTGGGGACTGCCAAGTGTGACTGAGTGATGAGGGAGAGGTGTAGAGTGTGATTGAAGGGATGGAGTAATGGAAGAGGAATCCAAGGGATGACAGAAGGAGTGAAATGGAAATGGCCTACTTCCCTTGATGTGCCAGGGCACAGATTGGAGACAATCAGTCACGGTAATAAAATAAGAGACTTAAAAGGCGAAAGTTGATATTGTCCCCACGTGCATTTATCTTAGGATCTTGACTGGCAGAGTCCTGAAAAAGCTTGGAATTCACCCAGAATATCTTAATTATCCTCACTGAGTGATCTCAGTCAATGTGCTTTACAGTGTTTTGAAGAGAGGGGCCAGCTGAGATGCAGGATCAGCCATATCCCACAGATTAGAGAGTACAACGACAGGACCATAAACATTCAATAAAGAATGAATGCAAAAATACAGCATTGCTTCTTCCACGTGTTCCCCATACACATTGTCAGCTTAGTTAATTTTAGTTAGAATTGCATGGGAACTGGCAACAAGCAAGAGAGCGGAAGGGGCACCACATACCTGCTGTGCTTTTGGGAATACTGTGCCACAGTTAACATGTCATCCAATGAGGTGCATGCTGAAATTACACTGTCAAACCATTGTACCTAGTGTTCTTAAACATATTCCAGGGAGAGAGGTTGAAATTTCATGGTACTGGCAGGATAGGAGGAGGTGCGCATAAAACAGAATCGTTGGCTAGCCCCACCCACCTTCCTGAGACCCCTGAGCAGTCCCCATAGCACAGCGGATGAGAAAGATGTCAGCCAACCTGCCCACTTTGAGTCTTACTAAAACCCTTAAATAGCCAGATAAAGGCCTCTTGCTGTTTCCACAACAATTAATGGAGCAGAGGAATGTGGAACAGAGGAGACCACCTTGCTCTTTCATGTCTTCAGGCAGGTGGAAAGAGGGGCTATCTCCTTTCCAGGGAGGCACTTCATCATGGCCTCTGTATGTACTGTGGCCATTGAGCATTTTCCCCAAGCTCCATCTCCCCATTGTGCCACCCCTACTTGGATGTCAACCTACTACACACACACACACACTACACGCACACGCACACAGCCCACTTTGCTCCCCTCACTATAGTCCCTAGTCCGCCCAATTTCACTGTAATCTTGCCTCATAGATTCTCTCCTGGGGGATTGCTCATAGACCCAGTAGAAGCCACTATTCTGCTGCTGGTCAGTTAGAATCCCTGTTTCTTGAAGTG